TTTTAATTTACACTTAATTTTGTTTATGTAGATGCTTCTCTTGCCGTTATTTAAGCTTTAAGTTTTCATGTTTCACTCTTTCTAGCATTGATTTTTTTTTAACATTTGCACTTCGCGAATCGATTCACCGAAAAATTTACGAACACGACCATATTTGACAATATCATGTGCATTTCAATTAAGTCTTTTTATGAATATGATATTCAAGTATAATACTCAATGACGAGCACAAATACAATAATAACTTGTGAATATGTTTATCACTCACCTTGGGGATTACCTCATAGCTAACAAACTTCTCCCACATTTTTTGAGATTCCATGCATACAGAAGTTGATTAGAATGAAAAAAAAATCATAGTAAGCTTGTACTGGAAATTTCTAAGCTTTGTATTGATTGTGATACGGGAGTGTACATACAGCTCCCTGTGGTATTATAACATCCAGGATGTCATGCCAGTAGTGCTGGATATGTCTTGGAATTTCATCGCTTAAAAAAGGTTTCAGCAGCAGAGCATACAACTCTTTATTAATTTTATCACCACTTAGCCATTTACAATTACGCATGTTTGGTTTACATACACGTATTTTTTTCCCGGCACAACCAGCTATAAGATTCTTCCATTTTGAAGGAATGGCAGATTTTAACAGAAAAAAAATTATATCTGGGGGGCTACTTTCACATTAAGTGGGTAAGGTGTGAAGCCCACCTCTCGTAAACCATACTCACTTCTAAACCACTTTTTCTATTTATATACCCACTTCTGTACACGAGTGTTTTCAGCGAAAAAAAATAAACACCCTGCGCACAACTTTCGCAACCAGTGATCGCATCCAGGTGATGCATTTTATTCAGCCTTTTCCGGTATTTACCTGTGAAAAAGTAAATAAACGTGACACACTTCTAAACCAAAACATTGATAAATGACTACCCACTTCTAAGCAAAATAACGTGAAATGACATCCCAGTCGGGCGGTACATACCCGTATTGCACATACCCGTATATATGCAAGTACCCCCCCCCTCCGCCCACCGGAGGTGCGCGAGCGTGGCACGCCAATAGGAGACCCCCCGCACCAAATTTCTGGATCCGCCAGTGAGTAAGGTTGCGCCTTCGGCGCGAGGGACGGTAAGCATACTCTCCCAACACATATGTTTTACTACTAATTAATAGATGCAATCGTCTAGAGTCAAGCTGTGGGTGTGAGTTACTCCGCATTGAGAAACTTGAATAAATATAATCGTTTCTGTATTGGGCCAGAGAGAAGACATCTCTGTCTTTACTCCACATTCATTATGAAAAAGAAATCGACATTGATTGCGTTGTGGATAATTTCGTAAAATTCCATCCAAGGAGAATGGATCTTCAAGTGTGTTGTGATTTATTTAGCATAACTTGTGTAATGTATTGTGTGATATGCCAAAGTCAACGTTATTAAAATGACGCTAACTTAAGATACGTACGTCCATGTGCCTAGTATTTTCTTGTATACAACAATTTGCAGTGTTGGATTTATGGTGTGCGTGTCTGTTAGTTGAGATAGCTCAGGAACCCCCTCTCTAAACATGGCTAATTAGTTCAAAGATGTATAATACCTTAATAATTTAAACTGAACACAGTGACAAAGCCATAGAATTCGCTCTTGTTCAAAAATTCGCACGTTTCACCGTGACATCAAATGTATTATTGTTTTCGAACCACTATTCAAAAGTGCTGGCAACGGGCTTACGTATCCACAACGACATAAGCCATTTGACCAAAATTATTTTTGTTGATTGCAAGATGCCTTAATTGCTATGCAGAGATTTCATCATAGAGACATAATCTTTTTCGCAAAATTACCTTTCCAGAATTTGATAAACGTAGTCAAGAATGCAAATGTATATATTCATTATTAAAGCTTCATACACTAACCTTATAATAGATTTTGCAAACTATGTGTATCCCATTTTCAGTGTTATTGATAGTTTTATTTAATGAGCATATTGCTGTATAGCCTTGATATGGTCATGTGTCGGTAAAATCATCAATGCAAATCAAATCCATTCTGGTGAACATGGCTGGTCATGGGATACTTGTGTGAGTTTGTATGTCCACAGAAACAAAAAAAAAAGTTACCTTTCAAAACAAGAAAGTGACCGTGATATTCTACTACACTAGCCAAGTGCCCCCCCCCCCCCCAACGAGGGACGATTTCGTCGCTTGGCCTTGGAGATGTGGAATGTTTTCCCACAATAATTTTGTGAAGAATAAACTGAATTTACACACCAAACATCGTGAACAGTAAATTCAGACGAATACTGTTGGTTTAAAATTGGATATTCATCACATAAAAAAACCTCGATTTGAGTAAAAATAAAGAAATGTCGGAAGTATCGTTGAGCGATACACAGAGACGACATTATAGGTCACAGGTCACATACCAACGTTGTCTAAATCACGCGATTTCTCGCAGTCGTCGAGACTTCAGTCTAAACAAAATGGCGGCGATACGTCGAAGGCGACGGTATTCGGGTTCTGAAGAAGGCAGTGAGGATGAGTCTGTCTCTTCTGAGAACAGTCAACCCCAAAATATCGAAAGATCCGACTGTGTGAGTATATTCACTTTTATCGTCATAGGGTTTTGCGTTAACGCAATAATTGGTGTGAAATCGTTGACCTTGATCTCAAACGCGCATGACCTTTCCTTTGTGTGCAATATCTTGGGATTCGATCACGTTCGAAAAATGCCGTTGCACAAATCGGATTCAAAACACATAACGCTATAAGTACACGAGTTTTACATCGATGCTTGACATAATATACAGACGTTGACATACATTGTACAATTTACATTGACTGCCGTTTTACGCACGTTTGTAACACACCTATTAACTGGAGGAACACATTCCACCAGTACTTGTGCCACAGGATTGGTTAGCTGTTTTTGCGACTCTAATGCGAGAAGGTTTGTTTTGTGATTCCTGAACGAATGTTGATGCATGTTTGCTTGATCGAACCAACTATATCTGGCATACCGTACACACAGTATTTTTTTTAACAGGGGTGACGTTAACAGGTACACGAGTCCCCATGTTTTGTTATTTTTCAACAGCAAGACGCGTTTTCCCAATCGAGAGACCACTGGAGGTATTGACTAGGGGGACGAAGTATCGAGACAATTATTGAGAATCCGAGGATGTACAATTTACGAGGACTGATTTGAAGCACCTATGAACAATTATCGTTCAGAATGGACGTAGCTAATGTCAAAATGAATAGAATGGAATTTTAAATTGTCAAAGAGGCTGCTCTTTGATACACAATGAATTTGCTACAAAAGTCACTGATTTGCTGTTTCTAACATCCCAAAGGAAATATTCACAGCTGACTAACATATTAAAGATTCCAATTAAATGTTAATGGCTACAAAAGTCACTGGCTCTCATATTAAAGATCCCAAAGAAAACATTCACTGCTACAAAAGTCGCTGACACGCTGTCTCAAAGATCCCAAATAAGAAATGTTCACTGCTACAAAAAATTGTGACTTTCCCTGATCTGTAAAAACGTTTTCTCTGCAAAAATCCAATATTTTGTGGTATACAAGAAGTCAAATAGTAAGTGACAATGTATAAAATAACTGCTATGAAGCCGTTTTATATTGATTGGGCTTTTGGTTTATCTTCACAGGAAAGTGAAGGGAGTTATGAACACAATGAAGAGCATAATTCTGAATATGAAAGTGCAGAAGAGAATCCATCGCAGGTATTATATTTCTGTCTCTCCTTGCTTGTTACCCTACCTACCCATATTTTTTGTGAAACTTTTGACAAACTTTTATATTATGCGAATTAGTGGGTTTATATTTAATTTTTTGACAAATTACCTATTTTTTATCTGCAAACATGACTTTTTTTATTTTCTTCTGTTGATGTAGTGGATAACCATAGCTCTATGAAATTCCACTACGGTATAATGACTAACTGCAATTGGTGTTCGTACTTTCTTAAAGCGTGATGATTGTCGCAGTGTGTCCTGTTTGATATAGGACTTGTAGCAACGTACACAACATGCTAAAATACAAAGTTTGTTTACCTGAAATTTAAACTTGTGCTGCACAACGACCACCACCCTTTAATCTCAAGTCTGTAGTAAATGCATGATTGTAATAGAAATAAAAAATTTCCACTGCAAAATTGTTTCCCCATCAAAGTTGTTTGATACTGTAAATACTATAATTTAGGCATCAGGAAAGAGTGAACGACCTTAATTTGGTTCTAAAATAGGTTGACAAAAAAAATGTTTTTTTATATGCATTGGTTTTTATATTGTTGGTGACGAAAAGTAAAGTGTTACTGTATGATAAATTGTAATAAAAATAAACTGAATGCATTGCTCAGTAGCAAATGGTCACAGCAGCAGCAGTGATGTTGTGTTTCACAAGTGAATAACTTTCTTGTTATCAAAGTGTTTGTTGATTACCGTTAAATCCCTTATAGAAGTCACACACATTCTTTTTGAACAATTGAGAACAAAAAAATCACAATTTCTCATATGTGTAGATGATCCAATAGAAAGCGCACCCCCTCTGTTGTATTGTACCATTCTTATAGTATTACAGTATTACTCAGCTTGATGTGCTGTGACCACTCTGTCATGTTTTTTCCATACACAAGTAGGCCTGAAACTGTGTTCTTTGAACTGATAGATCAAGCTGATTATCAACCAATCAAAATGCCAGATGGTGCCAACATGTTCAAATTACCATAGCTCATATAAATATGTTAATGAGCTAAGGTAATCTTTTGGCATGGATTTTTTTATTGTAATAATGTAATAGTGTAAATTTTTGAAAGATAAACTGAACATTGAAGAAGCATTTAACACTTTTCGTGGCTATAACGGCTCATTGTTAAAAGGCAGTTTACCCATTCACGCTAGTCACAATAAACTGTATTATTGAATAGGTGTCAGTGACTATGGAAAACTTAATTTGGACTAATGTAGGCACCAGGAAAGATTGAAATGTTTGAAAAATAACGCCTAAATTTGAATATCTACAGTATTTTTATTCTAAAACTGACAGACAAAACTTGCAAGTTTTGATCAAAATTGTGAATGATGATCATTTGATGCATAACACATCGGTTTGGTGAAGGGTTACAAAGGTAGTAAAAACATTGATTGCATGCAAATGACCGTATTTATCCGGGTAAGATCCCAGGGTTCTAAACATGGAAAAATGACAACAAATGGGGGTGGGCCTATGCCCGAACTTTCAAAAACGAAAATTGACAACACGCAGATCGAACTGCAGCAGGGAATAGAATGGCAAATAAAAACATGCAACGAAAATAAATGAACAACTTTCAAAAACGAAAATTGACAACACGCAGATCGAACTGCAGCAGGGAATAGAATGGCAAATAAAAACATGCAACGAAAATAAATGAACAATAACGAAAAACATTACAAGTATAACAAAAAATAATTTATTGCTTATAATTTGACAAATAAACCAGAAATAATAAAAACACTGACAAACGCGCCCAATACGTGTGAACTTAAAATGAACTAAAAAGTATGGTAAAATTATTTTTGGTTTTGATAAATACCAGATCAACAGTCATACAAGATAAATACCGGTAATAATTTACTAGTTACTAAGACCTAAACGGCCTTTTTCATGGCCACAACATATTTCAAAAAGAGAACTATCGTTTCTGCTTTAATATACATTTTAAATATTTTTTGTAGACTTGCTGACTGTTATGATTCTGATAACAAATCTTGAAAAATAAATGTAAATTACGTAAACACCCCTTGTTTTGTGCAACCAACATTTATTTTTTCAAAATTTGTTATCAGAATCACAACAGACTACAAGAAAGTCAACTGTTGTTAACTTAATGAACAAAAAATAGTTTTTTTTTAGAAAAAGTGTAGAAAAAGACATGACCCTGGACATGACCTCAACTTCTTTATTGTGTCAAAAGTGGGTGGGGTGTGGTGTGGTGGGTGGGGGTGGGTGTGTTGTCCATGCATGAGTTCTTACCTGGACAAATACAATAATTAATACTCACAGACAATGTTGACCTAATTATCCTAAATAGTGTGATTTGGGACTAAACAGATATTGTGTTGCAGGATGATGATGGTACGAGATCTGCAGAAAGTGATATCGAAAGGCAAGGAAAAAGAAGAAGAAAGAACAAGTGGAGATGGCCAGGTGAGGGCGCTATACTTTATTTTCCATGATTCTGTTAAAGTACCGGTATTAATTTTTACCGGGATTTAAATTCACTATTTCGATGTTTTTAGCAAATTCGTCCAGATATTCACATTTGCCATTCAAACAGCAAGTTCTGTTAATTGACCACGTTCACATGTATGGATTGAATGCAGAGGCTTTAACATATCAGCAAAATAGGCAAAATAAAACCCAGTGAATAATTAATGCTTGTATAGTATATATTAATAACGAGAGATGGCACTAATTATTACATTACATGGCTATATCTAACATCAGTCCATGTATGATTTAGCTTTTGAAATCCATTACAAAAAAAAGAATCATGTCTATTAAATTCCATTGAAATTAAAAATTTTGCCCACTGATCAAATTAACTATAAACTCAGTCATGTGGGGTGTCCAAGAAATGAACGAAAAACAAAATAGCTGCATGTGTGACAAGCATGGGATAAAAAAAAAAACATATTTCTTTGACTATAAATATTGCTTTTACAGGAAGAATCGAAGGACTTGGCTAAAGATGTAACTAACCCTCAGTATATTCCACGGAGAGGACCATTCTTTGAGCATGATGTACGAATGACCAGCAACAAAGAAGACACGAACATCAGGTAAAGTATGGTATATTGTGAGCTGACAGGAGGAGGAGGCTTTGTGGATGTGGTGTTTAGAATACAGTAGAACGTCGATTATCCGGACTGTTAGGGGACATGCTTTTTGTTCGGTTATGCAAACAGTTCGGATATGCGATCTTGTGTGGGCGTGCTCAAATTTACAGGCTCACGTACACACAAATTCTAACGCACATGACTGTAATGAAATCAAACAGTAGTACATGTAGAGTACGTCATTAAAAACATTTTTATTTAATCAGTAATGTACATTGTAATAAAAATGTTGCGTGCTGGAATGTTAAAAAATGTTTCAAAATGTCCGTAAAATGTAGCGATAATAAAGTTCCTTTGCTTCTTTCTTGAGAAAACCAAGTCCCGGAACCAAGTGAAGGCGTATTTCTCTGAACGATCGTCATAGGCTGTTTTCATTATCTTTCGTTTCAGTCCTGCACTTGAATCCATTTTACTGAAAAAATCCAGCAACTTTTGTTTTGCCTTGATATCGGATATCGTCAATGTCCTAATAATTCTTGACAACAATCAGTACTAGGCTTATAACTGTATCATATTTTTTCTTTTTGCACATGTAACAAAATTCTGATATATAGCGAGAATTCGTCACCATTGAAACCGATGGTAAAAGCGCAATCAAGTGCAAAAAAAAGTTGAATTGTAGCCAATGACCTCAACTACCTAGAGTTCACATTAAAAAAAATATCTTCTGCATGTATATTTTTCAAATATTGCCCCAAATTGTAATTATTTGAATACTTTTCTGCCATTCTACAATAAATATATATTGCATCTCATAATTTGCTTCAAAATGTACATTATTTAATTTCTGGAATGACATTGATTGTTTTTTCTATATTCAAGACCAAAAACAAAAAAGAAACTTTGGAAAGAGGACGACAAATGGTCACATGACATGTACCGAGAGGATGAACAAACCCCAAAAAGCCGTGAAGAAATCATTACGATGTACGGGTTTGACATGAGGAGTGGTTCTCTGAATGATGCTGGCTATCCCCGACCACAGCGAGGTAGAAGGTAAGCATTCACTGAACCGTTGTTGTAGGATCTCTGTCTGGATTGTTTTGCAGTCTGTAACAACGTGTTACAGGCTACTTTGAGGTAAATGCACGAGATATGAGATTGTGTTTGACTTGGCCATACATGTATGTTTCCTCACATTTGTATGGATTTGTGTGTAAACAGCAAATCATCATGATTCATGCATGATAAGAATTCCTGGTTAATTTCCCTGAGATAATCACCAATGAGGTTGTTTTTGCATGCCGTTTACTTGTGAACATGGCAAGAATAATGTTGTACAACACGATCGTTCGACTCAAAGCTACCAATGTATATTAAATTTTGAGTATTATAATTGAAATAAAGGACTCTGCACTGCCATTGCTGTGTGTATAAATCACCACTATCTGAAATCACCACTATCTGAGGTTTTTATCATCATAGCTTTATATTATCACATGATAATGTAAACCTCTCTTCGCAAGTAAATTCATTTTAAGAAATAACCCGTCAATTTAACTAGATTTGTTTAATTCTGATGGTGATGATATATAACAACAATAATGAACCCTCCACAGCCCTATATTGGATTCAGAAAAGGGTCTTGACAGGGGTGGTGAATTGTCACACGCAATAATGGGCAGTATGTTGTCCTTTTTATCCATGAATTTCTCAAATTCTATGCGTGTTTCTAATACATGCTTTTTGGTTCATTTTTTGGACAGCCCTCAAAACCTAATATTACAACTTATTTTCCGATTTTCCTCATGAAGGCATCATTATTTTCACGTGGAAATGATTTTTCCTTATACTTTGATTACAGAATGAGAGGGCGCCAAGGACCCCGACCACAGTTTCGAGATAATAGAGGCTTTGAAAACAATCAAAATGACAACAGCCAAACAGATCAAACTGACATGCAATATGAACAAAAAGAATCGCAGTATGAATGGAGTCAGCAACAAAATAACCGTCCATATTATAGAAGAGGTGGCCGTAATCGAGGAAATATGAACTATCGGGGAAATGACCGAAGGCAGAGTGATAGTGATGCACCTTATAGAGAGAACCGCTCACCTGTTGATAAGCAAATACGTTCATTTGGACACGGACGGGAATGGACAAATACAAATTATAAAAAACAAAGGGAGGATACAATTAATCCCCGACAAGGGGATGGGGATGGGATACATATGCACACTTCTTCTGTAGATAGAACTTCTAGGGAAACAAAATCTTATATGAAGGATCGACGACGCCCGCCCACACATCGGGCGCCAGAAGAGCAGGAATCCAGTACTGATGCTGGAAACCAGGATAACAAGGAAATGGAAAGCAACATGGAAAAGTTATCCATTACTGTGGAAGCTAGTCACATAGGACAAGGGGACCATGTCCCTGATAGAAGTATTGACGCCAATAATTCAGGTATTGGGTGATTACTTTCAAATTTTTTTGTCTGTATAATATTCATACTGTATCTATCGTATGAGTGGAACTTAATGCGAGGCTTCCATTCTTCTCCCTCTCTGCAATATCAACTGGATTTGCTGCTAAGATTTTGCTCATTGATTTTTTTCAATTTGTATTGTCATGAAGAATGGGTGGCCATATGTCTGTCGATGGCAGCTAGCATTTAATATAGAGTATGGGAAAAACATATACTGTAGAAAACTTTATTTTAGCTGGAATTAATTAAGACTTTTTGGGTGTTTTGTATGGAATTTATTTTCACTGATTTTTGAAAAGTTGAATATAAAATATAGGAAAAAACTAGATTTTATTTTCACTGAATCATTCCTTTAGCAAAAATATCGTTAGTTAATTCAAGCGAAAATAAAGTATTTTACAGTAGATGTCATCCATTTTTTTGGAAAATCTATATTTATTATCCAATTAACATAAAAATCATTTTTTTTTTCTCATGTTTATCTAGTAGTGCGGCCTGCTCCGAACTCATATACTAATTCGAGACATCAACCACTAAACCAAGATAGAAATGTACAATCCAAGACACAACCGCAACCTCAAAGGTCAGGACACTCTACAAGGCCAAAGAGGTATTCAACGCAGCGACAACGACAAATGCCGGATCCAGCTCCTCCCCCAGCATTGCATCCTCCACCGTTGATGGATCCACAGTATTTTGACCCAGGTAAATATAGCCCTACCATTCTGTTTATAAACCTGAGTTTAACTCC